AGCCGCTACGTATTCGGCCACTTTTTCGCCTTCCAGTTAGTTGGTCTCGCCGCTGGAAGCGGGCTCGACAGTAGACTTCCGATGGCCTTGGGTCATAGTGCTCTTCTTGTAGCGCTGCTACGATGTCGTCGTAGTCAACGGCTGCTGAAGTGCGTGGCTGAATCAGGGCACAGACTGTGTCGTATGTCTGCTCCCCACACAGCGTTAGCAGGTTGGCCCTCTTCATTGCTGCATCAGTGATGTTGTTAGCCTCGAAGTAAAATTGCAGGCGTCCAAACCACGATGACCATGATGAGCCGTTGAATTCGGGTAGCCGATTTGGGAGCCCGTGCGTAGCCATAGCTTGTAGCTTGTCAATATCGTTGCGTAGCGTGGGTCCAAATCCACTTCCTCGTCGCCACTGTTATGTCCGGTGTTGTCGTCGGCCCATAGACGTACGCGTTGGTCGCGGTAGTCCAAAAAGCTCAGACAGCCTCGAACGGTTAAAAACAAGTTTATTCCTATTCGGATGGAGGCGGCGGCCGAACTGCCGGGGGAAACGACGGTGGCTCGTTTGCGCCGAGCGGGGGAAGGGGAGGAGTCAACATCTGGAAGCAGTTTCAGCAACTGGTCCTTCGCGGGTTCGGAGGCTCGCTTGTGACACAGGGGTGCTTGGAACACAACAGAACCCTAGCAGCAGTGCGCGTCTTGGGGGGGGGGGGGGGGGCTATCGTATTATTAGCTTTACCTGCATGATAGCGCAATAAGTGTGCGACGACGCGCGCTCTCATCTCTCATCTATACTTTGCTCCCGCAGAGTGGAGAAGGTGGACGCTTGCTCGCGCACCCTTATATCGCGGTGGGAGGATCGTACATCTTGGCTGGCCTGTGGCTCTCACTGAATGATTATGTTGCAGTTACCGGGCACACATAGGCCACTGCAATTGTTGCACAGTCTCTGTTTGCGAAAAGAGCATGCTTTTCAGACACAGCGAAGTAACAACCGAGATGCTTATTCACGTTCATCTGTACCTGTGAGTGTGTCTCATGCGTTATTTGTGTGCGAGAAACGCGGGGCATGTTTCGATCTGCTTGCCATTCTGCACGTGACCTTCCCATTTGTTGCTATCGCGTTCATTGCTTCGCCTTTTCAGCAAAGCTGTAAGTTTTTGTTTTTTTCCACAAATGCAGAAAAAGGTTAGTTTAACTTCATGTTTCACTGTATTAAATGAGAACCAACAGAGAATACTGCCAAGAAAACTATAGGGGGTGTTATACTTAGTAACATTCGCTGTACTTTCCTTGGCAGTGTTGCGCCAATGAGCTGTTTTTGTGTTTTTAGTGTGTAGCAGGACAGGAAGGGTAGATGCTGTGAGGCTGTGTGGTTACCACTTGTGGTCAATAGAACAACCTCTTTCAATTTCCCGGGTCACTTGATAGCCCTCTCTGTGCCCACTTTGAAGAGGCCGTAATTCTGACATCAGCTCGTCTCAGAGGGGTGCAATGCTTACTATAGCTTCAAAGAACTATTTGACGTCAACTCCGTGCAGTTTTCATTGAACTTGAAGTAAACAAGTGATGGCAGTAGTAGTAGTATGTACTACATTGTGGTGAAATTACAAGGATAAGGGCAGATGACAATGCCACCTCTTCATTTCATTCTTATTTGTTTGTGTTGCTGATTGTAAGCTACGATAAAGAATCAACTAGTTCATTAGCATCAACCAACATAGGCGAGCATGAAAGTTTAAACGTGTCATTTTATATTAGCAATGTGCTCAGATATTTTTATTCCTCAATGAAAGAGCTGTGGTCATACAGTGCATACATACTGAGCTTCCAGAGCAGTTCTTAGTCGGGGCATGTCAGGTGTCTGTCAATGTCTGTGCACCGGCAGGTATTATCTCTCCGCTCTCACTTCCTCTCCCATAGCAACAGTTCCAGGCACACGTGCTTATCCTCACTCCTAGCAACCAGAACAGGTGGTGCGGGCGGAGAGTGAGTGGAGAGGAGGAGTGCCCTTTGACGTGTGAGGGTGCTCGTATCGTGAGAGCTTGGTGAAGCTCCCGCACGTGTGGAGAGAGTCTAGGAGAGGGTAGCTGCAATGCTTCGTTGCTTCTTCTCCCACCATTTGCATCTTTCTCTCCTCCCTCCGCCCCACTCTCCCATCTGCTCGCTTGTATGTATATATAAAGGCAGTGAAGTGTGCACCTCGCTCTCGGTCGTTTTCTGGCTGATGAATGAGTAAATAAATGGTTATGATACAAATCCTCATCTCATCATTAATTTATGTTATTAAAATTATTACGCTGTGTACTCTCGACACAAGAAATGCATTCGCATTCATCACGATTCCTTTAGGAGAAATCGGGGCAATTTTTTATTTCTCATCTAAACCTTCAGTCCCGCAGTGGCAGACGCACAAACTCATCTGCTCCCCAAGTTATTTCTTCTACTAAACAAAGTTGACTTTAGTAAAGAGTTCACTGAAGTTCATCTGGTTAGGCATTAAATGAGATAGAACACTGTCAGTGACCAAGTCTGATGATGATCTGATGTTTCAGAATTGCATTCGGGTTTCTTTTTCACTCAACTGGATGAGAAGTGATTGTCATTTATGAAGCCAGTAGATGATGCAACAAGCGTGCATAGATATATGAGGCATAATTCTTGTTGACGTCTTCAATGAGGCTTATGTTTACTGTATGATTAGATATTCTAGGTACTGGCAGGAAGACATGTTCTATTACTTGGCGATTATAGCAGCATTGTGCCAGTCAACGATGTGATTATGTTCATGCTATGCAATGGTGTTTGTCATGTGACCGTTATTATATAGTGACATCATGTCAGTGCTCCTTGAAGCGTTGGGAGAACTTTCTTGTCTCAGCAACGTACACTTCACATGTGGCGAAGCCTTCGAATAGTGGGTCGTCCTCTCCAGCGCCTTCTAGTGGGTCGCCTTTTTCGTAAAAAGAAGAGCAGCTGCAGCTCGTGCAGAGGGTCGGTCCCTGCTGTTGTGCATCATCGCCGAGTGCCCGCCAATAAATGCTTAACAATTTGGTGGAGAGTGCTGTGTCCTTCAAACACCTTCGGATCGCATTCGATGCCCTTGTTGCTTCGATCCCGTACCGTGCCTTCTACCATGCACCAAGACGCCGCTCAGCAAACGCTTCCTCCTGCGCCGACGCCATGTTCCGGTGTCCCCCGCATCCGCGATCCTCCTGTCTTCACCGGCGCAGATGGCACCTGACGTCGAGGACTGGCTCGCCATGTACGAACGCGTCAGCGTCCCCAATCAATGGGACGAGGCAGGTAAACTTGGCAACCTGTTTTTCTACCTCACGGGTGTGACCGGCATGTGGTACAACAACCACGCATCCAATTTTCCGACTTTGTCTGCCTTTAAAACTGTCGTCGTCGATGTGTTCCTGATGTTGGTAAGCTGCAAGCCGAACAGCGGTTACGCGAACTAGCACAGCAGACCGATGAGTCCTTCACAAGTTACATCGAGAACATTCTTGACTTGTGCAAGAAAGTGGACGCGAACATGTCAGAGGCTGACAGAATCGCGCATGTTTTAAATGGCATCGCCGACGATGCCTTCATCATGCTCCTGGCCAAGAACCCTCGTACTGTGGCAGAGATGATTACACTATGCCAAAGTTGCGAGGAGCTGCGGCGGCAGCGCTTTATGACCCGTCGACCGCCCTCACGTGACGCTGATCTCTCGGCCTTGTCAACAGTTCCTGACCACGCAACCTTGCTCGCCGAAATCAAGTCATTCGTGCGTGAGGAAGTTGCCCGCCAGGTTTCTTTACATCTTATCTTCGGTATTAATAACACTTGACTCTCTACAGGACCGGGGCATTTTGCCCTCTTTTGGTTTTGGAGAAATTTTGAAATGCTTTGGGGCAGCGTTAAGGAAGATGCTATTAATCATGAATCGATCAGGGTAGCTATTATGGTTTAGCTCTCGATTGATAATCCATAGTTCCTTGATCAGGATAGCCATTGGGTCTTATGAATAGTCTTCTTGACTACATTACTTACCGGAGCACTCATGGACAAGATGTCGTTATGAAGATACGTAAATTTGTTTCACTCATTTTGAAGATAGCAGCGTTCAAGATGCACCTTGATTTCGACCTCACATGTAAGTGGGAGGACTTAATGCCAAGAAATCTGCAACTGAGAGGACCAGTTGCCACATTGTGGGCCACCAGATTGTCTGTGGTTTAGCTCTCGATTGATAATCCATAGTTCCTTGATCAGGATAGCCATTGGGTCTTATGAATAGTCTTCTTGACTACATTACTTACCGGAGCACTCATGGACGAGATGTCGTTATGAAGATACGTCGATTTGTTTCACTCATTTTGAAGATAGCAGCGTTCAAGATGCACCTTGATTTCGACCTCACATGTAAGTGGGAGGACTTAATGCCAAGAAATCTGCAACTGAGAGGACCAGTTGCCACATTGTGGGCCACCAGATTGTCCGTATGTGGTTTCGAAACGTCGGATCATCATCAGACTTAGTCAATGATCGTGTTTCATCTCGAAGTTGACATTGGTGCAAGCTTGAAGTTGTCAGCTGTAATTTCAGCTTCTGAAGGGTTTTTGATGTTTGATGAGCATGAATAAATATAAATTCAAGTGCAGGAGATATTTGGGGTAACTATGTTTCGGTGCAATGTGCACATGGGCAAATGAAAAATTTCGGGGTGTAGGGGAGGGTTGAAAGCCCCCAGCCCCCTTCCAACTACGCCACTGCCATGACCCCCCTTTATGTATGCAAGGCTGCTGAACCCCTCACTGTTGTCAAACCCAACTGCCTTTGACAGCACTGGCACAACAGTTGCAGACCAGATATCTTTTGTAAATTATGGGAATAAGGGAACAGAGGTGGGACACTGCATCACATAATTTGTGAAGAACTTAATTGATTTGGAGAACTGTTTGATTTGTCTGCATGCACTTGAGCCTTTCATAATGGAAGGGCATTGATGTGAATTGCAGGGGCATGAACGGGGAAGGCAAGAGCATGGACAACTACCGTGGTTCTGTGCAGACGTGGAACCCACCAGTGACCATCAAGCAAGAACCAGAGTATGACCTGTACGGAGAGACCGCACAGGTCAGCAACAATGCTCTTTTTCGTTAAAGGGCAGTAGTCTGTGTAGTGTACTCATACGATGCTTTCCAGTTGGAAAGTACCACATAGAAATGCATTATTGTAAACATGAAAAGGTATGCCAACCAAAATGGAGGAAATTTTTACTTGCAGTTCCAGCTTGCCATAAAAGAGCCTTGTCTACAATAACGCAAAGGCATTGCATTGAGCACTGTTAGGTTGACACACGTGTGCACACTGCTTGGGTTTTGCTATATATGCCACACTAAAAAGGTGGCTTTTTCACAGCCAGTATCTTATTTTTAATTGATTTGCCCATCTCAAAAGGTATGAATACGTACAAGTCAGCCAAGATGGGTCACATGTTTTGATGCACCAATATAAATTTCTCTTATGAGTGTTTGGTTTTTTAACCTAGATGGTGCCAATATGTTTATATTAGATCACTAAGCAAGCTAGCGTGGTGCCTCTGTTTTTCACACACTGCTTCACTGTCCTGTGACCTCCAAGTACTCGACAGCAGCACTGAGTCATTGTTTGAGTTTTCTGTGTCTATACCCAGCTAAGCTCGCGACAGACCTCAACATAAGATACAAACTCGACATGAAGTTCTACACTCCGACATCCATTCATGATGATAAAGTGGAACAACTATGCGAGTCCATCAAACTATAAGAAAATAAAAAATTGGCCCCGTATCTGCACGTAATCTGCAAATGTCGTCAAAAGACGATAGTCTTGCATGTGGAGAGAAGTGAACAAAACATTTATTTGATGTTCTGCGCAAGAAAATCGGTAATGGTATTTCGGAGGCGCTGCGTTAGAGTGCCTCGAGCGTGCAGCAGAGGCGAACGAGCGCATCAAGTCACGTCACACGTGAGACATGAGCGCCATCTGGCAGTTTCTTTTGGAAAACAAAGCGCGTGGCCGTGCGCGCCCGTTTCAGAGGTGATAAGCTGTAGAACGCGAGGGGACGGGTAGGTGCCACCACATTCTTGTCTTAGCAAAGCGTTGGAAACACTCCCCGTTCCGTGTAAGCATTGCATGATAAGCGCTACGGTCCTTAAAATTACTTATGTATGCGTTTTCTAATAAGAGATGCATATGCAGAATATATGCGTGTTGTTATGGTGTCCCCAGACATGCACAATAATTGCTTTTTAATTGACAATTGAACAAGCATGAACGCTCAACCTTGAGCAACATTGGTGGTCGCTACTGGATGGGGGACACCGTTTCAAGTACCCGATGTTGGTAAGAATGGACAAACAGACAAATGTACAGACAGACAGACCAAAATTTTTGCGTCGAAGGTCCCCAAGAAAGACTGTCGTCTTTAAGAACGCCAGGCCTGGCGTGGAAGGCACAGCACAGTCACAGCGGAAGCATGGAGAGCGGCCGTTCAAGAGCCTTTTCTAAACACTCTTTGGCAAGCACACTTGCTGGGTATTCACTGTGTCATAAATATTGTGAGGAACCGGTTTATTCAGCCAGGCTCGAGCTAAATCACGCTGGTGATGATATTTTCAGATGAAGAAGATGTACAGGTGATGATGATATCCAAGAGAATAAAGAGTCATTCGCTTGTCTGCGCTCACACTATTATAATTTCTGTATAGTAGGTTATGATGATTCCCGGAAGAATGGCACTACCCACCACAAGGGATTTGTGAAACAAATTAAAATGAAATACAATATAATAATAAACAGGAGAAAAAAAAAGAAAAAAAGGAGAGAGGGAGAATATAGATAGGCTGCCATTCACTATGCTATCCTTTGTCATTCTTTGGAGAAGCGTGGTATCCACTAAACACTTGTAACCAATTTTGTGTTGCATTCAGTGGCTGACGATAATGAAGAGCCACACATGAATGGGTATGTAGTGTCATCATCATCGCCATTCATCATCATCGTCATTTTTTCTAGCCACCGCGCTGCGCCTCTCGTGCAGCTCATGCGAGAGTTCGAGGCGCGAGCGGTGGAGAACGAGCACCAGGCCTGGCGGTTCGGACGTGGCAGCCGCTGCCGCTCCGCTTCGGCAATCGCTTTTGATAATAAAGTGGCGAGAGAACGACATGGCCACGTTGGCCGCCGTCCCGTCTTCCTCTCGAGTTGCGTGGATGAGAACAAGCTAGCGCACTTGGTGTGTCGGACGTGGAAAGCCACGCGGCTCCGCTTCAGGCGTGGAATAAAGTGGCGAGAGAACGACACGACCACGTTGGCCGCTGTCCCGTCTTTCTCTCTCGCTACAGGTATGTGCCACTGTTAATAGGTGATGAAGAACAAGCCACTGAATGCAACACAAAATTCGTTACAAGTGTTTAGTGGATACCACGCTTCTCCGAAGAATGACGAAGGATAGCATAGTGATTGGTGGCCTACTATGCAGAAATTATAAATATTTGCGTTAGAGCAATTGAAGACCCACTTGTAACGGGATTCGTATTGTGTGACGCCTGGTTGTTCCTTTGCTGTTTTAAAACTGCTTGATTACTTACATTACCGAGATTCCTTTTCAGACATCAAGCCTGCCAAAGGCAACTTTGCGAATGAGTCCCAAGCACTGGCATGGCTCAGCATTAGAATACTGGGCTGGCACACAGTGGACAAGGTTTCGAATCTCGCTATGTCACCACATGTCTTTGGCATTTCTTATTGAGTTTTTTTTTCTTATTTCGTGCGATAGTGGTTGCAGATATTGGCGATGGTAGCGGACAACTATGGCGCTGCGCGTGACTCGTGTTGTGATCTTATAACAGCTTTCACTGTAAAAAGGACATACCTGGCACACCATAGTCATGGGAGACTTCAATGGGGAACCTGCAAAGAAAACAAAGTGGGGAAGAAGAAATTGGTAACGTATGAACTCTAGAAAAGACGTTAGTATGATTTTCAGAATAGAATAGGCTCCCCATATTAGTGATCACTTTTACAATACTGAGCACAGCTATGTGGTGCGAACTTCTATGAAATGAAAAAACAAATGGGCAAGTTAGTAACCAGCACTGAGCTCATGAATGACATCGTGGAAAGCTTGCAGAAAGGTGATGCCTCTCTGATTGTGGAGAACAAGGTGTTAAAAGCATAAAATGCGTCATTGTCTCTTAAAGAGACGCAAATGGAACAATAATCATGAGTCACCAGAGTCAAGATGAAGGGCATCCCGCCAATATAAGGGGAAGACTGCGTGGAGGCCATGCAGACTATAGGTGATAATATCGATTGTAAACTGGCACCCAGTGGTTTCGACGTCGCTCACGGTGTTACAGCCGTGAAATATATGCGAAGAACCTGCTCGCTTGCTTCTGCTGTCAGATGAAGAAGGCTGAATTTCTGAGCAAGGCTCGAAGGGCCAAACTCTGCCTAAGTAACATTGGATTTCCAGGAACCGCCAACAACCCTGTGTACATTAACGATCGCCTCGCTCCCGAAAACAAGGCACTCTCTTCTGAGGTACTGGCTTTAAAGAAGGCGAATAGCTGAAAGTTATTATGGACAGATAACTGTCAAATCAAAGCCAGAAGGACTACAGAGAGACACAAGGTGCTCTGCATCAGCTGCGAAGCAGACCTATCCAAAATATGCTAGTGAACCACATTGAATTTGAATATCGTCCTTTGATATATTTAGGTCCATTCAATTATCGCTACTTCTTTCTTAACAGATAAACTCGACAGTCTTTTTGCTCCTGTTTCCCGCTCAAGATTCACATCATTGCGAGAAGTTTCTGTAAACACCTTGACAACATCCAGCCTCATCTCTCTACTCTTGATCCATTTTCACTTACAGATATCTGAAACCTCGCTTGGTGATGGCAACAAAAAAATTGCCCGCAGCTTCCCTCGGGGGAACACTGAGGAGGATGCGGAGCTCGACCGGCAATCAACGACTGCTTGCACGTAGCACACACGACGTAGTCGGCATAGTCCGTGCCCTTTCCAAACGTATCGCAAAGAACCGACAACGCTTTGGAGTTGTTCTGAATGTTGCCGATCCGAGTTAAGTTGCTATCGAACCAAAGACGATCACACACCTTGCAGGTGTGGCCGAAGCTTCAGTCGAGGAAGTCGCGCTTGAAGCGAGCGTTGGGCGTGGCATACTGCTTGGCGCGCCATGCCGCTACCTCGGCGCGCTTGCGCTCGCGGGCAGCATCGGGATCGGCCTCTCGTCGCCGACGCTTGCACTCGGCTTCCCGTTTTCGAAAGTCCGGGTCCTCTTGTCGACGCTTACGTTTCAAAGCGGCCGAATCCGGTGCTGCTGCTCGACGATGACGTCTCTCAGCGGCTTCACGTTCTCTAAGTTGAGCATCTTTCGCTCGACGCCGACGTTTACGTTCGGCGTCGCGAGCTCTTCTCCGCGCTGCCTTGTCTTCGGACGACGACTTGGTTGCGGTTCCGCCAACACTTTGGCCGGCGCTGGTCGAAGGGACGTCGATCATTGCGACCTCGGACGTCGACGCGCCGTACAAACCAACCGACGAGCGGCAACTGAGCGAGCGAGCACCGACCTTGAGTATATATACAGCGTGACGGCGCATGCACTGTCAGCTGTCGAATGTTCGAGAAGGGGGAGAAGCGCAACGGCGCATGCGCGCGCGTCAGCTGCCGATGTTCTCAAAGCGCGACGGCGCATGCGCGCGCGTCAGCTGCCGGCACGCGGTGTGTAGAGGAGGAAGGGTGCACAGATGGTGGAGGAGTGAAGCGCGCACGGTGTGTAGAGGAGGAAGGGATGCACAGATGGTGGAAGAAGGAGGAGGAAGCTTGCGGACGGCGCCGCCTGCAAGCCTCGAGTATTAGATGCTCCGCATCTAAAATTTGGTCTTCCTTCATACAAATCTGAATGCTCGCATAGGGCCTATGGTGACCCCGCTACGCACCGCAGCGGATCACCGCGGGTTCACGCTTAGGGAGCCACAGGGCCGCGACTCCGCCACCTACTCGCGTGTAGCGCTTTGCTCCGCGCGCGCTCAACCGATAAGGCGTTTAGCGTGGCGCGGCAAAACA